TTCAAGTGATTGTGGACGTGTTGTTTGGGACAGTAGTAAACTCCAATGGCTGCAGCAGCTGCATCATAACCCCACCCTGTAACACTAAAGAACTACGGGGGAGAGGTAAAATGACAGCAGGAGGGGGATGCCAAGGTTTAAAGTGATGGTAAAGGATAAATAAATCAAATATATATGTATTATATATAAAAAACAAACATTTTATACTTACCTGCTCTGTACAATGGTTGCAGCCCTGATCCTCCAATTCTTGGGTCCATTGCTAGCACTCCTTGCTTCTCTCCCTGCCAAGTGCCCACAATAGCAAGCTGTTTGCTATGGAGGCACTCATGCATGCTCACACTCCCAAGACCTGCTCTGTGTGTCCCATAAGACACAAAGAGAGCATCTCTGCCCCACGCCTTCCTGGCTGTGATTGACAGCAGCAGAAGCCGATGACTCCCGCTGCTGTGTCTGAGCCAATGAGGAGGGAGAAAGCCGAGAGAGAATCTGCTCTCGTGCACATAGCTGGATCGAGATCGGGCTCAGGGGGCTCGGGGGGGGGGGGGGAAGATGCATACTGAAGGTTTTTATCTTAAATGCAGAAACAATTGAGTACTGTCCGTGATACTTTTTTTATTTGCACTAACATACAATTTTGAGGACAAGCTTTTGGTTTATGTCCCCTTCTTCAAGTCTAAGCAGTACTATTACAAATCACAAAGTTTAAGCAGAATGTTAGAAGGGATTGAGAGAAAAAAAAAAAAAAAAGGGCTACAGATAAGATACATCAAAAGCGAGGGGGGGAGATACTACACTCACACAGAGGGGGTCAAGCTTTAGCTAATAGATAGTCATAAAGCTGTCGGATAATGGTTGAGGAATCCCATGTCCAATTAAGGCCGTTATCTTTTGTGTCAAATAGACACAAGTATCTTAAATGCAGAGAATGCATTAAAGGTAAAAAAAACAAACACCTCCCTTTAGAACCTCTTTGAAGTAGAATTCCACGATAAAGCGAACTAATCTTAAAAATGCTCCCTCTCCCCTGCAAACAGCTATGCGGACTAACCTGTGTAAGGAAGATGTATATACTTATCTATTTTCTGGGGATGGGGTGCTTCGGTTCAGTTACGTGATCGCCCCTGTGTCAATCAGCTCCAGAAGAGAGGAGAGCGCTCAACAACAGCTGGCAATGCCAGAGAGCGGTGACAACACACATAGGCTTCAGTGGCTCATCTGCTGGTGGTGCTCCCTTTGGATCACATAACCAGACTGAAGGGTCTGAAAATAGGTAATTATACAGACCTTTCCTACACAGGTTAGTCAGAATAGTTGTTAGGAGCCGAGAGGGAGCATTTTTAGGAGTAGTTAGGTTTATCCCGGAGTTCTACTTTAATGTTGCAACGGCCAGAAGTTTCCACAAAGTTATTGGTGGTGGAGAGTACACAAAGGTGCCCTGCTGCAGATCATATACAGTTGCAAGAAAAAGTATGTGAACCCCTTGGGATTACGTGGAGTTTTGCATGAATTGGGCATAAAATGTGCTCTGAACGTCATCTAAGTCACAACAATAGAAGAACACAGTCTGCTGAACATAATACTACACAAACATTAGATGTTGCCATGGTTTAATTGTACATAGCATGTAAACATTCACAGTGCAGGGAGGAAAAAGTATGTGAGGCCCTAGCTTAATGACTTCTCCCAGAGCTAAAATTGGAGCCAGGAGTGAGCCAAAACCTTGACTCCAATCAGTTTGATGATATTGTATGTGTTGCTGACAGCTGTCCCTGGCCCTAAAAAAACACACACCTGTTTTGGGTTTACTGGTTTCAAGAAGCACTGTCTGATGTGAATTCATGCCTCGCAGAAAAGAGCTCTCAGAAGACCAATGATCAAGAATTGTTGACTTGCAATGGAAGCTGGAAAGGGTTACAAAAGTATCTCCAAAAGCCTTGATGTTCATGTGTCCACGGTAAGACAGACTGTCTACAAATGGAGAAAGTTTAGCACTGTTGCTACTCTCCCTAGGCGTGTCGTCCTGTAAAAATTTCTGCAAGAGCACAGTGCAGAAGCTGCATGAGGTAAAGAAGAATCCCAGAGTGTCAGCTAAAGACCTACAGAAATCTCTGGCACATGCTAACATTTTTGTTGACACATCTACAATAAGGAAAACATTAAACAAGAATGGAGTACATGGGAGGACACCACGGAGGAAGCCATTGCTGTCCAAAAAGAATATTGCAGCACGTTTGAAGTTTGCAAAAGAGCACCTGGATGTTCCACAGCACTACGGGCAAAATATACTGTGGACAGATGAAACCAAGATTGAGTTGTTTGGGAAGAACACACAACACTATGTGTGGAGAAAAAAAGGCACAGAACACCAACATCAAAACCTCATCCCCACTGTAAAACATGGCGGAGGGAGCATCATGGTTTGGGGCTGCTTTGCTGCCTCAGGGCCTGGACGGATTGTTGTCATTGATGGGAAAATGAATTCCAGAGTTTATCAAGACATTTTGCAGGAAAACGTACGACCATCTGTCCGCCAACTGAAGCTCCGCAGAGGATTGGTGATGCAACAGGACAATGACCCAAAGCATACAAGTAATTCAACAAAACAATGGCTGCAACAGCACAGAATACGCCTTCTGGAGTGGCCCAGTCAGAGTCCTGACCTCAACCCGATTGAAAATGCTGTGGCATGACCTTAAAGAGAGCGATTCACACCAGACATCCCAAGAATATTGCTACACTGAAACAGTTTTGTGAAGAGGAGTGGTCCAAAATTACTCCAGATCGTTGTGCAGGTCTGATCTGCAACTACAGGAAATGTTTGGTTGAGGTTATTGCTGCCAAAGGAGGGTCAACCAGTTATTAAGTCCAAAGGTTCACATACTTTTTCCTCCCTGCACTGTGAATGTTTACATGTTATGTGCAATTAAACCATAGCAACATCTAATGTTTGTTGTAGTATATTATGTTCAGCAGACTGTGTTCTTCTATTGTTGTGACTTAGATGACGTTCAGAGCACATTTTTTATGCCCAATTCATGCAAAACTCCACGTAATCCCAAGGGGTTCACATACTTTTTCTTGCAACTGTAGTTGTGATCAATAGGCAAAAAGAAATGGGGTCAAGAACCACCTGCAGCAAAGACGAACGAAGAAAAAAAAAAAACAAAACCCTGAGAACTGGAATTGAAAGTGAAAGCAGGCATGCTTAGAAAAAAAAAACAAACATGATCACTTAACCTTGCCAAGACTGCATTCCTGGTCATGACAACAGGCAATAAGAAAAGTACGAGACAAAGTCACCAGCACACCAGAAAAAACGCATTTCACATATTTATGGAAAGGACTCGAGGCCACAAAAACAGCCTTCCATAGCAATCACTTTGAGCACCTACCTACCAAGTACATGGGAGGAGTGCAGCTTTTACTTGGATGTTATCAAACAATAAAAAAGGGAGCAGTAAGGTTCTGCAAATACATACAAAGCAGAGCACATAGAGCGTGCTGGGACGAGAAAAGGGTGTGGTAAGAGAATATTCAGGAATCAGGAAACTACATACACAGTACAAGTTTACCTTGTCAATTATTAATCAGAACAAAGTGACTGCCATAGAAGTGTTAGCAAAATCCATCAAAGGGTTACATTAATGACAGCATTTAGAAATAATCCTGCCTAGAAGAACAGTCAACAACATCGTCTTGGAAAGGCTTCACCTACTTTCCTGCCAACCAGATGACATGCCATCAGAGACACCATTAGACCAAACAGGAGCTTTCCAAGGAAGAGCAGATGGATACATAGTTCATGGACTTTGGGTGCTGTGCTGTCCTCCCACAGATTACCTTTTTTTGGTAATATCACCCTGCTCTCATGTGTCAGGGAAAATGCCAAGAGGTGCCGTGCAAAATCTAAACAGGGATTAAGATCGCATAACAATTTTAAAATAGTGCTGCCTGTCATTACATCCTCTATTTGTAAAGTCCAACTCCAGCTAAAACTGTTTTTTTTTTCCATTTGGATAGAGTGCAGAAGAAGTAGAACTTCTGTTGGGTTTCCATTGCTATCAGTGTCCCTACAGGGAGGGGTATACGTGTCTCCAGGACAGAAACACAGCAATCAAGACACAACAGAGGTTCTGAGCCTTGCAATGACTTCATGTGTCAGCAACACCCAGGGAAGTACGATCTACCCCAACATGGGGACAGGAATGGAATCCTGACAGAGGTTCTGCTTCTTTCTCATGTCTTGTCTCTCCAACACCCTATCACCAAGAAGTGAGGGGAGATCTCCCCAATGGGGACCTTGTCGCCAAGACAGGAAGCGAGGGGAGATCTCCCCAATGGGGACCCTGTTGCCAAGACAGGAAGCGAGGAGAGATCTCCCCAATGGGGACCTTGTTGCCAAGACAGGAAGTGAGAGGAGATCTCCCTAATTGGGACCTTGTCGCCAAGACAGGAAGCGAGGGGAGATCTCCCCAATGGGACCCTCTTGCCAAGACAGGAAGCGAGGAGAGATCTCCCCAATGGGGACCCCTGTCACCAAGACAGGAAGCGAGGGGAGATCTCCCCAATGGGAGCTCTTTTGCCAAGACAGGGGAGGTCTCCCAAAATGGGGGCAAGGTCTGGGTGACACACAGGGGTATGGGACAATGTTGGGGTGACACATAGGGGTATGCTACAATGTTGGGGTGACAATCAGGAATGTGGCATAACATTGGGGTGACACACAGGGGTACAGAGCAGTGTGAGGGTGACACATGGGGATACAGGACAAATGTGGAGGTGACACACAAAGATACAGGTCAATTTCCAGTTACTGGGAAGGAGTCCACCTATACATGCCCCATTTATCACGTGACATGCAGCACCCACACCGTGCACAGCATAGGAGTCATTCCAAACAAAACAGGCCAGGCTACACCCAACACTACACCAGGTGACTCGGGAGATTCCTCGGTGTCCTGTGGAGGAAGAAGATTCATTACCCACCAGACACTCACCTGCTGCCCCTTCCCGGGATTCTCCGCTCTCTGTATTACTTCGCAGGTTACAGCTGAGGACACGCCCCCCGGTCATCTGACTTCACCGTCAAGACGAAGGGAGATTCCCTGGCAGAGCATGTGATGCTTAGTGATCGGTCACGTGACTCGCCGCCAGTGTCAACATTCCGGTTGTTGTAGCTGGCTGCGGGCTGACGCACTGAGTAGAATGAGGTGTCGGTGAGAGGGGCTCGGCTTTTTTTTTTACTGAGTCATGATGGAGACTGGAAAATGATAACACGCCACGGAGAGTTATAGAGCGCAAGTCAGCTGGTGGGCGGACAAGGCAGAGCTTGAATTTGTAGAACACGCTCACTACTGGTGTACCGTTGGGTTTGCTCACCTATGTCCATGGAGCTGCCTTAACACCGGGGCCGGATCTAGCCTGACTGAGCTGGGGGTGCAGTGAAAAAAGAAGGGCCTGGTTTCCAAACGATAGAAAGATACATAATAAACTGCTAATATAATATGACAGACCATGTACTAGGCAACGCTAACCAAATAAAGCACACGGGCACGCTGCACACCAGAGGCACTGCACACTGCACCACAGATACAGCAGGTACATCTATATAGAGCCATTTTTCTGGCTCTCCAGCCACAAGAGTACAGAAGGCATTGGTAATGAGTATACAAAATACAACATAAAAGGTACAGCATTAAGAGTATGGTCAGGAGCATGTAACGTGTGCTGTACATGATAGAATCCTGCTGCAATCTGGGCTGTGTTGTACATTGCATTCTATCCGCTTGTCTGTGTACTGCACTATACTTTATATAATTCTTACCCCTGCTCTCCTTACACAAGACTGTGTGCTGCATACTCCTGACCATTGCATTCTGTAAGCTGTGTCATTCATTACATACGTCTGACTGTGGAACTCCGCGCATACATTGCTGCACATCGAGTATACAGTGTGGTGAGGATTATGAAACGTATAGCTTCACATTAACCACCCACTGCTCACCTCTGCCACAGCTCACCTGTACACACCTCATCTCATCCCCATGCCCAGCACCCCCTGCTACTGTACAGCGCTGAGCATACCCTTTGGCGCTTTATAAATACTGTATAATAATAATAATAATCCACACCTCATTTTATCCACATCTCATCCCCATGCCCAGCACCCCCTTATCCACACACCTCATCCACATCTCATTCCCCATGCCCAGCACCCCCTTATCCACATCTCATCCCCATGCCCAGCACCCCTTATCCACACCTCATTTATCCACATCTCATCCCCATGCCCAGCACCCCCTTATCCACACCTCATCTTATCCACATCTCATCCCCATGCCCAGCACCCCCTTATCCACACCTCATCTTATCCACATCTCATCCCCATGCCCAGCACCCCTTATCCACATCTCATCCCCATGCCCAGCACCCCTTATCCACACCTCATCTTATCCACATCTCATCCCCATGCCCAGCACCCCCTTATCCACACTCATCTTATCCACATCTCATCCCCATGCCCAGCACCCCCTTATCCACACCTCATCTTATCCACATCTCATCCCCATGCCCAGCACCCCCTTATCCACACCTCATCTTATCCACATCTCATCCCCATGCCCAGCACCCCCTTATCCACATCTCTCCCCATGCCCAGCACCCCTTATCCACACCTCATCTTATCCACATCTCATCCCCATGCCCAGCACCCCTTATCCACACCCTCATCTTATCCACATCTCATCCCCATGCCCAGCACCCCCTTATCCACATCTCATCCCCATGCCCAGCACCCCCTTATCCACACCTCATCTTATCCAAATCTCATCCCCATGCCCAGCACCCCCTTATCCACACCTCATCTTATCCACATCTCATCCCCATGCCCAGCATCCCCCCTTATCCACATCTCATCCCCATGCCCAGCACCCCCTTATCCACACCATCATCCACATCTAATCCCCATGCCCAGCACCCCCTTATCCACACCTCATCTTATCCACATCTCCCCCATCCCACCTCCCCTTATCCACATCTCATCCCCATGCCCAGCACCCCCTTATCCACACCTCATCTTATCCACATCTCATCCCCATGCCCAGCACCCCTTATCCACACCATCTTATCCACATCTCATCCCCATGCCCAGCACCCCCTTATTCCCACAACCTCATCTTATCCACATCTTATCCCCATGCCCAGCACCCCTTATCCACACCTCATCTTATCCACATCTCTCCCCATGCCCAGCACCCCCTTATCCACATCTCATCCCCATGCCCAGCACCCCCTTATCCACACCTCATCTTATCCACATCTCATCATCATGCCCAGCACCACCTTATCCACACCATCTTATCCACATCTCATCCCCATGCCCAGCACCCCCTTATCCACATCTCATCCCCATGCCCAGCACCCCCTTATCCACACCTCATCTTATCCACATCTCATCATCATGCCCAGCACCCCTTATCCACACCATCTTATCCACATCTCATCCCCATGCCCAGCACCCCCCTTATCCACATCTCATCCCCATGCCCAGCACCCCCTTATCCACACCTCATCTTATCCACATCTCATCCCCATGCCCAGCACCCCTTATCCACACCATCTTATCCACATCTCATCCCCATGCCCAGCACCCCCTTATCCACACCTCATCTTATCCACATCTTATCCCAATGCCCAGCACCCCCTTATCCACACCTCATCTTATCCACATCTCATCCCCATGCCCAGCACCCCCTTATCCACATCTCATCCCCATGCCCAGCACCCCCTTATCCACACCTCATCTTATCCACATCTCATCCCCATGCCCAGCACCCCCTTATCCACACCTCATATTATCCACATCTCATCCCCATGCCCAGCACCCCCTTATCCACACCTCATCTTATCCACATCTCATCCCCATGCCCAGCACCCCCTTATCCACATCTCATCCCCATGCCCAGCACCCTCTTATCCACACCTCATCTTATCCACATCTCATCCCCATGCCCAAGCACCCCTTATCCACAGCTCTCTCCCTCTGTGCCCAGTATCCTGTATCCACAGCTCTCCCTCCTGTCCCAAGCACCCCTTATCCACATCTCTCCCCATTTGTGCCCAGAACCCCTTATCCACACCTCTCCCTCCTGTGCCAAGCACCCCGTATCCACATCTCTCCCTCCTGTGCCCAGCACACCTCCTTATCCACATCTCTCCCTCCTGTGCCCAGCACACTCCTTATCCACATCTCTCCCTCCTGTGCCCAGCACCTCTTATCCACATCTCTCCCTCCTGTGCCAACACCCCTTATCCACATCTCTCCCTCCTGTGCCCAACACCCCTTATCCACATCTCTCCCTCCTGTGCCCAGCACCCCTTATCCACATCTCTCCCTCCTGTGCCCAGCACCTCTTATCCACATCTCTCCCTCCTGTGCCCAACACCCCTTATCCACATCTCTCTCTCCTGTGCCCAGCACCCCTTATCCACATCTCTCCCTCCTGTGTCCAGCACCCCTTATCCACATATCTCCCTCCTGTGCCCAGCACTCCTTATCCACATATCTCCCCTCCTGTGCCCAGCACCCCTTATCCACACCTCTCCCTCCTGTGCCCAGCACACCTTATCCACATCTCTCCCTTCTGTGCCCAGCACCCCTTTATCCACATCTTTCCCTCCTGTGCCCAGCACTCCTTATCCACATCTCTCCCTCCTGTTCCATATCTCTTCCTCCTGTGCCCAGTACCCCTTATCCACATCTCTCCCTCCTGTGCCCAGCACCCACCCCTTATCCACATCTCTCCCTCCTGTGCCCAGCACCCCTTATCCACATCTCTCCCTCCTGTGCCCAGCACCCCTTATCCACATCTCTCCCTCCTGTGCCCAGCACCCCTTATCCACATCTCTCCCTCCTGTGCCCAGAACCCCTTATCCACATCCTCTCCCTCCTGTGCCAAGCACCCCTTATCCACATCTCTCCCTCCTGTGCCCAGCACTCCTTATCCACATCTCTCCCTCCTGGGCCCAGCACCTCCTTATCCACATCTCTCCCTCCTGTCCTCAGTACCCCTTATCCACATCTCTGCCTCCTGTGCCCCAGTACCCCTTATCCACATCTCTCCCTCCTGTGCCCAGCACCCCTTATCCACATCTCTCTCCCATCCTGTGCCAAGCACCCCTTATCCACATCTCTCCCTCCTGTGCCCAGCACTCCTTATCCACATCTCTCCCTCCTGTCCTCAGTACCCCTTATCTACATCTCTCCCTCCTGTGCCCAGCACTCCTTATCCACATCTCTCCCTCCTGTGCCCCAGCACTCCTTATCCACATCTCCCTGCCTGTTCCACATCTCTCCCTCCGGTGCCCAGCACTCCCTTATCCACATCTCTCTCCCTCCTGTCCCAGCACCCCTCCCTCCCTAATCTACATCTCTGTGCCCTCCTTATCCACATCTCTCCCCTGTGCCCAGCACCCCTTATCCACATCTCTCCCTCCTGTGCCCAGCACCCCTTATCCACATCTCTCCCTCCTGTGCCCAGCACCCTTATCCACATCTCTCCATGCTCCTGCACATCTCATCCCCATGCCCAGCACCCCTTATCCACATCTCTCCCTCTTCCACCATGCCCAGCACCCCCTTATCCACATCTCTCCCCATTTGTGCCCAGCACCCCTTATCACACATCTCATCCCATTCTCTGCGCCCAGCACCCCCTTATCCACATCTCTCTTAATCCTCATTGCCCAGTGCCCCAGCACCCCCTTATCCACATCTCTCCTCTTGTGCCCAGCACACCCTTATCTACATCTCTCCCTCCTGTGCCCAGCACTCTCTTATCCACATCTCTCCCTCCTGTGCCCACACCCCTTATCCACATCTCTCCCTCCTGTGCCCAACACCCCTTATCCACATCTCTCCCTCCTGTGCCCAGCACCCCTTATCCACATCATCTCCCTCCCCTGTGCCCAGCACTCCCCTTATCCACATCTCTCCCTCTCCCTGTGCCCAGCACCCCTTATCCACATCTCTCCCTCCTGTGCCCATCACTCCTTATCCACATCTCTCCCTCCTG